ACCCAGCCCCCTGCCCTGACTCCTGCACCCCCTCACACCTCCAGCCCCCTGCCCTGACCCCTGCACCCTATCACACACCCAGCCCCCTGCCCCAACCCCTGCACCTCCCCAGTCCCCTGCACCTCCCACACCTCCCCAGCCCTCTGCCCTGACTTCTGCACCCCCACACACACACACTCCCCAGCCCCCTGTATTCAGTTTGATTAGACATAGATTTGCGCATTTTATTTTATTTTGCTTGGTGACTTACTTTGTTCTGTCTGTTACTACTTGGAACCACTTAAATCCTACTTTCTGTGTTGAATAAAATCACTTTTTACTTAGTAATTAACTCAGAGTATGTATTAATACCTGGGGGAGCAAACAACTGTGCATATCTCTCTTTCAGTGTTATAGAGGGTGAACAATTTATGAGTTTACCCTGTATAAGCTTTATACAGGGTAAAACGGATTTATTTGGGTTTAGACCCCATTGGGAGTTGGGCATCTGAGTGTTAAAGACAGGAACACTTCTGTTAGCTGCTTTCAGGTAAACCTGCAGTTTTGGGGCAAGTAATTCAGACCCAGGGTCTTTGTTGGAGCAGACAAGCGTGTCTGGTTCAGCAAGACAGGGTGCTGGAGTCCTGAGCTGGCAGAAAAGGCAGGGGTAGAAGTAGTCTTGGCACATTGGGTGACAGCTCCCGGGGGGTTTCTGTGATCCAACCCGTCACAGGGATGTCAGATGGTTGGGGTATTTTCAATCTTTTCTGTTTATAGTTGGATGGTTAATTTATTCTTGTTATTGGTGAAGACTGACAACTGGATTTATTTTTGATGTATGGTTTGCATTAGTAAATAAGTGTGAAACTGCCTAGACCTTCAGAAAGGCATTCTTTGATTTAGGTTTACAAAAAGGAAAAGAATTATTTTGACTTTCAGATATCAGGTGGTTGTTGCAGGACCATCAGTTACAGTTCATGTGGAAGTGATGCAAATAAGAAATAGATGCGATTGAAAAACAAACATGAAATCCCAGGATCCCATATTTTATTAGCTTCAACAATGGATCCCTGCAGAAAACTATATACAAGAAACTCAGAGATCACCACAGAGCCCGTAACCACCCCCAAACAAACCAAGAAATTTGTGGTCTACAGCCAGATACTCAGGTACTACAGAATATGCTCCAAGGAGAAAGTCCGGAACACACACACTTAAAAACCATCTTCACCAAACAAGGACACTTCACCAGAGAAGTAGAACTTGTCATGGAATGAGCCACCCAAATATTGTAAAAGAACCTGCTTCAATATGAGGAGAAGGAAACCTCTGACCAACTCCCCAAATTGTCATCTGCCACCTCACGCTGGAACCTGCACAGCATATTATTAAAGAACTATGATCCATACGCAATGGGGACCACATCCTGAAAGAAATCTTTCCCAAACTCTTTCTTCTGGCCTTCAAAAAAAAAAATCCAACCTCATCAAGCTCATCAGCTGCAGCAAACTCCCCAGAGACCAGGACACACCAATTCAAAGTGGCACCAGACCCTGCCATAACAGCAGATGCAAAATCTGTAGACATATCGCCATTGCTATGACAATCAATACCTCTCAACAAGATCCATGGATCCTAGATACGCTTATTACAACATGTGGTGCACCACACCCACTGCATTGAATGCCCCAATAACTGTGTGGGTGAAACCAGACAATCACTACACTCTCAAATGAACTCACGCAGAAAAATGACAACAGACAAAAACACTCATGGGTGAAAACTTTTCACAGAACGATCACTCCATATCTGACCTCTCAATCCTCGCCCGCAAAGAAAACCTGCACACCTTCAAAAGATGATCCCAGGAACTTAAATTTGTAAGTTTGTTAGACACTAAAATCATGGACTCAGTGAAGACACTGGATTTATGGCTCATTACCACAATCTATAACCCACTAACTCTCCTTTGGCCTATGACTGCAGAGACGTTTGCCCAGTTCACCTTGAGTTGTCTCTTACAACAAGTAAATTCCTTATGCTAAACAATCTTTCACCTTGTACTTAGCTGTGATACTGTGGGTACCTGTTCCAGACCTGAAGAAGAGCTCTGTGTAAGCTTGAAAGCTTGTCTCTTTCACCAACAGAAGTTGGTCCAATAAAAGATATTATCTCACCTAATATTTTACTTAGTCACGTTTTAAACTAGAGCTCTGCTATAATAGTAAGTTGAACATTATTAACCCCCCAGAAACCTCTTTCCATTTGAGAATACAGATAATCAACTTATTCCTCATTTAGGCAGGTACAAAAAGGGGTGTGGTTAGCAAAAAGTATCAGAAGCCACAAGTTTATTCTAAGAGTTGAGTGAATATCTACAAATATATGAGTAATTAGGACACTTTCAACAAAGGTTCTACCAGAACCCCAAATTTACTGATCAACAGAGTAGACTGCAAGGCATCTGCCCCACCTTGACTTTGGGCTTTGCCTTACTTAAGATAGGATAGGGCAGCATAGGGAGACGAGTTTGTGCAATTCACTGTGAGCAGCTTAATATGATGATGTATTTGATCTATGTTCACACACTGTTGTTGCCAGCCTAAGATTGAGTGTGAGCCTTCAGTGAGCATTAGGATGCAAAACAGCCTACCATAGTAAATTGCCATAGATATTCATAGATTCCAAGGCCTGAAGGGACAATTGTGATCATCTAGCTTGACCTCCTGTATAACACAGGTCATGGAACATCCCCAAATCATTCCCAGAGCAGATCTTTTAGAAAAACATCCAGTCTTGATTTTCA